CAGGGGTCTGTTCTGTGTCCCCTGCAGTTTATACTGCTGAAAATTGGTGTGATATTCATGAATATTATAAATAAAAGATACTGGTTGTACCAACCTAGACGGCCATGTGATAATTGTAAGAATATTGATAGCATTCAAAGGAAACTAAACAAATTGAGTATAGGGCTAAACATTATTTCAGTGAATATCCTCCTTGGGAGAGGGGATGTAAGCAGGGCTTTTTTTGAGGCTCAGATGGCTCTAAGGTCAGTGGCAATAGAATATTGAAATTGAGTAAATGTTCTTTGGCAGTCTTGGTAGTCCAATTCCTGAGCCAGGGAGGTCTACAGTATGCCAAGGTTTTGCCATGACACAGAAGCCAACAGAATTGTCAGTAGAATTCAGAGAAGCAGACCAGTCACTTGGAATCTTCCCACTCGGCTCCTGTTAATTCAGCAAGTCAAAGCCTTAACGGGTAGGCTTGTCCTAGACTTACTAGTTAATGTTTGCAATAGTTTTAGCTTTTACCATGCCTAACTCCGATACACCCTGGGTTCCCGAAGCCTTGGCAATTGCCGAACCTCAAAATACTCTCTGGAATCAAGTGATCATGGTGGTTCCTCCAGGGAGATAATATACACTGCATTCCAGATAAACAGAAATTTCCATGCCTATGTGTAACTCTCAAATAAGAGCTAAGTGAGAAGGATCCCTACCCCCTGCTCACTTTGCCTCTCTAAGTCCTGCAGAGGTGCTAGGCTGGCTAGTCTACCATCAACAGTGCTTTGTTTGTTTCAGATACTCTTTTAAGATTTTAAATGAAATTGAGAAAGTAAATCTAGAAAAGTAGTTTCAGATAGACCAAGATAGTAGAACAAGAGGACACAGGTTTAGAATTGCAAAGCGCAATTTCAGGACAGACACCAGAGGGTAATTCATAACTGCAATTGGTTACCAGGTAGGCTCATCGAGGCCTCAATACCCAATTTAAAAAACAACTTGATGCTAACGATGGGAGGATGGTCATTTTGGAAGGATGAGATCAAATCAGCAAAAGGGCCTTCTTCATCTGAACACCTCATGAACTATTGTTTGCAGCTTTAGGAATCCTCCCTTCAGAATTGCACTGATCTGTTGGAGAGGGTTCAGAGAAGAGTGACCAGGATAATTCCAGTAATTAGAGCTCTACATTCATAGGGCTCAATTTGCAATCATTGGAGGAAAGCTTAAGATAAGACATGTTTTAAAATGCTGAAAGGCTTGCATACATTTGAAACAGAATGCAGTTATTTAATTGTGACTACGATTGCAGACCTTGAAGCAGAGGATAAAATTAACAAGCCTCAAGGAAGGCGTGCGATTCGAAGAATTTTAATGCTACGCTGATTAACAAATTTGACAAATAGCTGCATAAATATCCAGTTACAGACACAATTGAAGATTGTAAAAATGCATTCAGATGAGAAATGATCAAATCCTCCATGAAATGTGAAGGTTTCCAAGTAGCTGAGACAATAGAAATACACCAAGGAAAACAATCAGTGATGGAAAGTTAGATATTCAGGATTTTCATTTGGGGAAATGTGGGGAGAACTCTTTCCTCAATAGAGTATATGGATTGTGTAAAGCTCCATATTTAGTGGTTAATACATATGTGGAAGAATAGTTTCTTCGTCCTATGCTTTGTGATCTTATCCACACACAACATTTTCAGCAGTAAACAAGTTCCACTAATAGTATTTGGAAGTCAGAAAATCTAAGCCTGGAAAGATTTGGGGGATATGGAAAGGTTACTAATGCAAAGGTTAAGAGAAGATCAACATAGCTGAGTCAACAACTTGCATTTATATGGAGTCCTGTAGCTTAGTGGTTAGAGCATTCGCCTCACAAGCGAGAGACCTGGCTTTGATTCCTGGCAGGATGAAATGATGGGCATGTTTGCTTACTCCACATGCCTCTGTTTACCTAGCAGTAAGTAAGAACTCGATTGTTAGTCGATTGGCAGATGGCTTTTCCGGGGGTAATAATTCCTTTAAAAAAAAGTTGGTCACTCAATCCACGACTGTTTGTGGGACACTGCTGTGTGCAATTGACTGCCGCGTTTCACCCACAAAATATACAGTCAATTCACTTTACAGTATATTCTTTTAAGCGGTTTGAGATGTCTCAAAGACATTGCAAGGATTATTATTATATAGCGCCCTTCACGCTGGACGGATGAAGAATAATGACTATCCTCCTTGGCGTGGGAGGTAAGCAGGGACTCCTTGGAGCTCGACTGGCTCTAAGGTGACACGGTTGACAATTGAATGATGGAATTGAGTCAATCCTCTGGGCTTTCTCCTGAGTAGTCTGGCTCCCGAGCCAGGGCACTGCTTATGAAAGACCAGCCAGCCTTGACTCTTGCCAACCTGAGTCTCATATTCTCCAGAATTAGGTAAGCAGGGTGCATCCTCCGGGGAGACAGTGCATTAATCTATTCCAGAAACAAGGACATTTTCATTTGCAGGTGCATGGAACTCTGTCTGGTTTGGATCCTCTTAGGCACAATGATGGGTTTTCGCATGTATCAGACACCTGGCGGATCAAAAAAATGTAATACCCAAACAACTTTAAAATGACTTTGGTGCCACAAAGCACTCTATAACGAATCAAACTGCAGGTGGAAAAAAAATTAATTACAAAAATAGAATGCTGAAAATCCACATCAGCTCTATCAGCATTAAGAGCAAGTTTCCTTACTCCACACGCCTCTGCTTACCTAGCTGTAAGCAGGAACCCAGTTGTTAGTCGATTGGTGGATCACTTTTCCGGGGATAATAATTCCTTCAACAACAAATAATAATTGTTCACTCAATCCATGACTGCTTTTGGGACAATGCTGTGCACAATTGACTGCTGCAATTATTATTATACATATATTTATTTTCAGCATTAGAGAGGAAAATAAGTTAATGTTTTGGGCTTAGCACTTCAACAGAATTTATTTTCATAAAACAGTAAAAGTACTCTCTATAACAACTCTCATAAACAAGTGGTGAAAATGTGAGGTTGGTGATGCCTGGTATTTTCATATTGGATTGATGACATGGGTGTTATACATACCCCACTTTAAACATGTGTGGTAGTAATGTCATTTTGAAAGATCTGCATTCTTTTAGTGAACAACTCATGGAACACACTCTCTCAGTGCAGTGCCAGCTTTCATTCCTTTTTCCTTTCTATAGTTGGATACAAATCAACTTCCTTGTAAAATGTAAGAATATCTATAATAAGAGCAAACTATAATACTTGTCCAGGTGCAAAAAACAGAAATATTCCATTCTCTAGCAATCAAGGTATTTGACTTTTCACAAAGAGTACTGTTTTAAACCTACCACATCATTACTGCCTGTATTTTCAAAGCAGCCTTTAATTGGGAACTCTTATTCATAACAGAAACTAAAACACCTCAAGTGTTAAAAAAATAAGAGGAACATGCCTATGCTCAAATGGAAGTTACATTTTAGATAAAATGCACTATAAGGTCATCATAGGATAATCATTTAAACACATTCAAAATCAGGGCATTAACCTTTGGCTGTTCTGTTGAGATCTGTATTGTGCATTCAAATAGATTTTCATTCGGATTATTTTGATAGAAATTCAATAAAAATATACAATCACTCAATATAATGCTTTGAAAGGTTTTGCAGTATTCAATACAGTGTTACATATTTGTCTGCATAAAGTCACTACACTTGATGAAAACAATTGTGTGAAGTACTTTAAGATGTTTCACCATGATAAGGGCTGGGTCAAATGTAGTTTTATTATTCCATCACAAATCTGGTGTGTAATATATAGACTGTGAGAGCATACTTACCATGTATACTGCTCAGGATTGCTTTCATCCTCGGAACCCTGATTTTATCATTTCTAAAACTATCAGTTTGATAGAAAGGGAGAAACCATGACTATATATAAAAAATACTACCATTCACTAACATTAAGATTACCTACAGCATAAATTGAAAAATTCCAAAGACTTCAAGGATTTGTTAATCTAGTTATCCAGCATTTAAAACAAAATGTGTTAAGAGGAATTAGTAACAAGAATCCATCAACAAGGACACACATTATTCATGTGAATGGCCTGTCTTCAGCCAGAAGAGATACTCCAGTGGTGTACTCAATGTGCCTATCAGTAGGTGTGCCTCCAATCGGTATCCTCTAATGTGGAGTTCTGTAGCTCAGTGGTTAGAGCACTCGCCTTGCAAGCGAGAGACCTGGGTTCGATTCCCGGCAGGGCAAAATGTTGGGCAAGTTTCCTTACTCCATATGCCTCTGCTTATTTAGCAGTAAGTAGGAACCCAGTTGTTAGTCGATTGGAGGATCGTTTTTCCGGGTATAATAATCCCTCAAAAAAAAAAAATCGGTCATTCAATCCATGACTGTTTGTGGGACACTGCTGTGCACAATTGGATGCCACGTTTCACCCATAAATATACAGTCAATTGACTTTACAGTGTATTCTGTGAAGCGCTTTGAGATGTCTAGAAGACACAAAAAGTACTATGTCAAATGCAAGGATTATTATTATCCACCCTTGTCAAGGATGCCAAGAACTGTGTTGTTTGAAAGCTGAGCTTTTATTTGTCCCTGATCCTCACTCAAAAGAACAAGCTGTATTGACTGGCCCAACACATACCTATAAATTTGAGGATCACTCTGTGTATGTTGTGTGTGGGGCTAAAGTACCATAGAGATTATCTACAGGATTTTTGTACCCTCTGATTACAGCCTCAGAAATGCACCTCTTACCACACCCACTACAAGGTCTTCATTTACCACTGGTTCTCCTTGCAGATGCTCTCTGTGAGACTGCCAATTTGCGAGTAGTTTTGTTGAGTCTCGAATTCAGGAGAGTTGAGACTGGCCACAGATAGTCACTGAGAGGACTTATAGATGGTAGAACGTTTGTCCCATACATCCAGACTAAATTAAATCCCAGGACCCAAGAACAGGAAATAATGCTGGAAAGCAATTAAAATGCAATTCTTTATTGATAACTCTGTGAGAATACAGGCGTCATCCAATATTTTTATTATACATCAGACATCGCACATGTGTGACTAGAGAATCACATACTGAATCCAATGATACAAAGTATGCTTTGTTTGGTATAAATTTCAGCTCTGAAATTTTCAAGAAAATGTATAAAAAGCTATAATTAAAACATTTACCAAGATTTCTATCTAAATATTGTGGAATACACTTGTGGAATACGTCTGTATTCTTTTCTTGTATGTATTTGAAGCACAATGTCACCATACTTTTAGCACAATAATCTGAAATTGCATACTATACCCAAAACAGCTCAAGGTTAATCCAAGCACCAAACCTTATCACCAACAACAGCACTGTAGACTTTGTCAGTGGATACTTGTTTCTAGCAGCACAGTGCTATTGATTTCCAGGTGGCAAACACCTCTTAAAAAGAGATGAACTTTTAATTTTCACTCCGGTTCAGTACTGATTCATGGTCCTGAACTGTTTGTCATCATCTGCTGTCTTGTGTACTCCCACACAAGCAAAGCTCCACTCACGTGAACGTTGAGTGATCGGATAACACCATACTGAGGGATTTCCACACAAACATCAAGGTGCTGGATTAAATTGGCTGGAATTCCTTCTCGTTCATTCCTAGGTGGAAAAAAATATGAAAAAATAAAGAATTTGAGAAGAGAGTGACCTCATAAGACGTTTCATACCAATATTCATTGCAGAAAAGTCAGCAACAGATAAACAGATCCATTGTTTTAATATCTGCACAAGAACATCTACAGCAATACGAAATTCTGTACTTTAATTTTATTCCAGGAAATAAAATGAATAACACTTGATTGTTATGAAATCCTATACAATGCATAAATGTTATCTTATTGCTACATTCACAAATGCAGGTGTCATTTAACACTTTCTATCACATCCAGCAGATTTTCTGCATCTACCCAGTTTAAATGGGTTGTATTCCCGAAAATAAAATCCTTTACTCACAGATGGCAGCATTTTCATACTAGTTTTAAGATCCATTTTTGATGAAATGAATAAAGTGCATAAGCAAAGAAAATGTGTTGCTATAGAGATAAGAAGTACTGACAGATAAGCACAATGAAATAACAGTGCTACAGTTCCAGGTGCTGAATTTTTTAAGAGACGTGCAAATCAATGAACCGCATAGGGTAATTGTCATAATAGGAGGCAGGATCACTAAAGTGCCTGCCTGAGGGTCTCCTGAATTCTCTGAATGGAAGCATCCACTGACAAACACAAAGAGTATGTCCTGACTACCATGAGAGAGAATCAAAAGAAACAATGGCGTCTAATCAGTGGTTATAAACTTGGAACTTAAAAAAAATCATAATGCACTGATGAGGAATTACCTGGATAGGACAATAGCATGTACTCCATAGAATACAAACATGTGCATACCTTTCCAGATTTGCTTTATTTTGTGAGCGCAGAGAGCTAAAGCAGATATAGTATTCCTGCAGGGAGAGTGGCCAAGTTATAGTGGTGTTGGAAAGCAACAACCAGGATAACNAAAAACATTATGTAAAGGATGTCCCCATTACATGCAGGACAAGAAAGTATCATTTTAAAGGAGTTGGCTTTGTGATTTCTCCCCTTTGAGGACCTGTTATTGGTATGAATAACATACCAGCTTCTGTGAAGCGCTCGTGGAGTCCTGTAGCTCAGTGGTTAGAGCACTCGCTTTGCAAGTGAGAGACCGGAGTTCAATTCCAGGCAGAGGGCGAAACCTTGGGCAAGTTTCCTTACTCCACACAGAGCCTAATAATAATCCCTCCAAAACCAAAAACAATAATAAATTGGTCATTTACAATCTACGACTGTTTGTGCGACATTGCTGTGCGCAATTGGCTGCCGCGTTCGCCCTCAAAATATATACGGTCAATTCACTTTACAGTCTATTCTGTGAAGCGCTTTGAGACGTCGAGAAGACGTGAAAAGCGCTATATCAAATGCAAGGATTATTATTATCATCATACTTGCATTTTATATAGCACTTTATCATATCGTCAGTATGTTTCAAAGCACATCATAAGTTTGTACTGTAAAGTGCAGTGATTCCATATTTGTAGGCAAATGTGGCAGCCAATTTGCACAAAACAATGTCCCACAAACAAGAGAATGACCAATTTTATTGTTTTCTTAAATACAATTGGTTGCAACATTGATTTACAAATACACTTTACAGTAAATCTTGTGAAGCAGTTTGAGAAGTTCCATCGGCGTGATAAGGCGCTAGAGTCAGACATTTTTATGCAGTCAAAACAAACTTGTTGATAGTAATTTTTATTAAAAAATACAGGAGGTTATAATCTGAGATTGTAAATATTAGCTCCTTTAGGGAAATACCTCTCATCAGTAGTTGCTGAAAGTGTACAATTTTGTAATCAATTTTTCTCATGGAATGAGATTCCGACTGTGACAGAATCTCAGATCTAAAGCTGGTTTGCAATTAAAGATTTTTTTTAAACAAGTATTTATTAAAAAAAACATTTTATAGTAAGAATTTTCCTTCCTTTTATTGATTTAATGTATATTATAATCTAATAATTTAGAAGAGTATAAGGGAAAGTTATTATTCAGAGAAGCCAAGGTTTTTGATCCCTGGTCACTGCTGAGTTAGATGATCTCTGCTGGGGTAGCTGCAGAGATATTACTATTGGTCTCAGCTTCCACAAGTTAGACAGGCAAGGGAACAATTGGCCTGCGGTACACTAATGATTAATTTTTGTTGACCCCTGTTGGCAGAAAGTATGAGCGTGTGAACATTAAATGAGGTCAGAATTGGACTTGGGCTCAGCTGTGCTGCCTCGCACTGTGAGATAGCCTATTGAAAAATCACTGCCCAGGCTCAATCATGAAAAATTGTTGCTCAGCTTATGTATCTAATCCACAGCCATCCTCATAATAATCCTTGCATTTGATATAGCGCCTTATCACATCTTTGAGACATCTCAAAGTGCTTCACAGAATATGCTGTAATGTGTAGCGACTGTATTTTGTAGGCGAAACGCGGCAGACAATTGCGCACAGCATCATAGTATCTACAATAGAAATTTACTTTTATATAGCACCTTTCACACCTGGAAGAAGTCCCAAGGCACTAAACAATGCTGGCTTGGCATCCAAGCTTGTGGTGGAAGTCAAGAGGGGTGGATAGGGACCCCAGTATTTACTTACCAAAAAAATTCAAAATGTGAGCGCCAGCCAGCATTTTTATGGTGCGAACATGAATAATGAACACAAAAGCGATGACTGGTAATTTCGCTTCATTATAGTACTGGCTGGGATTTTATATGTATGGCTAAAGACAGGATTGGGCTTCCCAAGATACCTTATCATGGACAAATGGCCTGTCAGCACTTGCTGTCTCTGTTCATACACAAAAAATGGCCACTTGGGCAAGGTATTGCAGATCTGAACATAAAAGGTAAGAGGTACCATATTAAGGTGCTGTTATTCATCGAAACCCATATAGATTTATTATGGTCAAGTTCGTCAAAGACAATCATGATCAGACATAATTCTCAATGCTCATCTACGTGCCAAATGACTTGCTGCTGGTCTTAAATCCAACGTCCCTGAGTTCTGCAACCCATCTTGGAAAGAAAATCATGATCACCATGGTCACACATGACAGTGAAGCTTATAATGCTAATTTGTTTAGCATATTTTAAGACACTAGCTGTTTGTCAGTGATCTTTGCATCTTGAAGAATAAAAAGTGACTCATTGAAGGTTTAGTTACACCAGCCTTCTGAAGAGATTTTTCATTTGAAGCGACAAAGGTGGTTGCCACCATAATTCTGAGACTGAATCATGCCCCCTCTGTGAGAGCGAAGCATTCAAGTTTCAAAGTCCTGAAATGGTGATGAAACTATGCTCAAACTAATTTGGAAGCAAGAGCTGTACCTCTGAAAGGAAGAGTATAGCACAGTTAACAAGATTTCTCTTAAATGATGTGGAACTCTAGATTTCCCAAATGCAAAATATCTTCCAGGATTATAACAGCAAGAGGTTGGTCAGGAAGGAAGATAGAACCCTTAGGGACACGTTGGAGTTCACAATGAGGACACAAGGAATACAGTGAGCATATACAATGACTACTACTTGGAGGATACTTCACAATATGTAGTCCATTATCGAGTGGGCTCTGGGATTTCAGCATTTGGCAGAGAATATAGATAGGCTCAAGGGGGTAAAAAAAAATCCCACAGGACAGATCAACTAGACTGAAAGAAGTATTGTGAAGCACTGACTATCATTTTGCAGAAATCAATGAACACAAGGAGACAGTTTAGAAACAAGTAAATGCGGTTCCTTGTTTAAAAAGATGACACAGAGCTACCACAGGCAAAAATAGACCTATCAGCCCGACTTCAACTATTGGAAAACTACTGGTATTGATAATCAGAAGCACACAGGGTGGATGTTGTGCAACCAACCTCAGAGACGTTTTAAGGTGACATTCAAGGGGTATTATATTTTAAATGGGATTGAGAAAGTAAACAGAACAATACTTTTACCAAGGCAGCTAAACAAGAGGGACAGGATCAATGTTGTGAAGGGCAATTTCAAGCAGAAAAAAAAAAGAATTTCTTTACTCAGAGACCAATTAAAGACTGAAACAGGTTACAAGCAAGGATGTTTGAGGCAGAATGCTGAACTCATTTAAGAAACTGCTTGATGCTGCAATGAGAGGGTACAATCCATATTATTATGGAAGGATATTGTAAACAGACATTGTAAAAAGCCATTTTGACGTGTATAAAACAGTCATTTAGAATTAATAATGTAACCATTCTTGAATTTGATATTGCGTCTTTCACGTCAGGAAGATGCCTCAAAGCACTTCATAGGATTTACTTGTGAAGAGCAGCGGCTGTATTTCTAGGCAAATTCGGCAATATTCCATAAACAGCCATGAAGTGAATGTTTACACTTTTAATTTAACTATTGAAGTACTTTTCTAGAATATAGCAACATTATATAGTACAACATACAACAGGTGAAGAACTGAAATGTAATATCGGAATTAATTCAGGAAGGGTTAGTGCTCAGTGATGTCCCCCTACCCCTTTCATTTTGTATCTATGGCCCATTCATTTGTATCTAAGGGTGAACAAGAACAATAGTGTGGTGTGAGTGAACACATTGTACTGAGGAAATTGGTATGATGGTTTTAAAATGCAACATAGTTAGCCCTTTCCAGGTATAACAGTTTTTATTTTTAAGTAATTGATTTACATTTTTCCTGACCATTTCAACCTTGAATTTGTATGGGAAAGGGAATAGAATGTCTATAAGACTTAAAACACAAGTGCTAGAGCTGCGCTAGTGGCACCACAAATAATAGTCACACACTTCATTGATGAAAATATTAGGTCAGGCCATGTCTTTGATCCGCTATGGGTAGAGAGTGCAAATCTTTGAATCCTCAACACAACATGAATCCCCTCTGCCTTGTCACAGAAAATTTATGTCCAAGTCAATCCCAATTATCCCTCAACAGCGAGTCTGACAGATCTATGTATTATACATGGATGAAGCCAAGCCATATAATGTTTTTAAACTGTACCGATTGATGTGGTAGCAGCAGCATTTTAATAGGGA